CAAATGATGTAAAAAGATCTCTTCCCCATAAATGTGTGTGTGTGTCAGCCACATAAGGCTTTAACATTCCTTTTGATCTTCTGTACCACACCTTTATCCCATCACATATTTTGTTCCAAGTCCTAGAAAGTGTGGATAAACCTTTTGAAGTAGCCATTCTAAATTCCAACATTTTGTGAAATGACCAGCTCCTGTATCCACGAAATCTATTTCAATATTATTTACTTGTAATTTTAATTCTCCCCCTGCTCATTAACAACTGTTTGGCAGAACACACATTTTCCAGTATTTCCAAACTCTATTAGATCATCGATGCCTTCGCTGTAGGAAACCATGGTGGCTGAATAATCCTGTCACATGCATTAAATTGCCATAATTTTGTACAAAAGCCATAATTTTAATTTCTCTTTTGAAATCTTCATCTGTAATTCCTGAATGTACAATGAATTCTTGAGAAAATCAAACTTTTCCTTCCCAAGATCATCCCTACTGTCCCTGAGGGCAAAGGACCATAAACTCCAGCAGTTATAATAAGTTGTTTACCTGTGAACAAGTCTAGAGCCACGTTGCCTGCAATATCCTGCATTAAATCTCCAATACCAAGTGTCCACTGCTTGTCACTCTTTTTTCCATCTGCTTGTCACTCTTTGGCTGAGACAGCTCATACGTTTTTGCTGTAGGGTCTCAAGCTAGGACCCCAAGGTCATTTCTCAGCGGTTAGAAATTTCCTTGAATATCTCTTTTGGATCTGTACTCATTGGCCCAATGGCAACCCTTGCCACATTGCCTACATACCCCTGGAAACCTAGACTTTCTTTTTTGTTTATAGTTAGAAAAATCCTGTCCTTAGAGATGCCTTTTTCACAATTTTGTTGCAAATGACAATATTTTCCACAATGGAAGCACCAGACATCTTGATATTGGAGACTTCTAGCTAGAGCTTGACTGACTATATTAACATGGTACACATTTGAATCAATATCAGTCATATCCCTTATCCACTTGTCCGTAAGTACTGCCTGCACTTTTAATAGATTTTTTTCTTTTTTTACATTCAGTATTTGCATTTTCAAATATCAAGGTCTCTATCAACATTTGTCTTGCATCAGGTTCTAATAAGGCTTTATTCACAGCTGAGACTAATCTTTGTAAAAATCAGTGAAGACTTCTCTAGAGCTTTGTGTAATCTTTGTGAATGAGCTGGCCTTTTTCTGGGCTCCTCAATTTTGTCCCAGGTTCTTAAAACCACTAAGTAACATTGTTCTATAGTAGTGTCATCAAATTGAACCTGTTCTTGTATATCAGGGTACCTCCCTTCACCCAGCAACTGATGATTTACTATATTCCTTCCCCTAGATCCATTTCACTGTTTAATACTCATATGGCTTCTTCCCTCCACCTTGTTAAGTATTAAGCAGTTGTGGCTCAGCCACTGCTACAGTTGTTATGATTCCTTTTCAGTCTTGGGTAATAATTCTATTGTGAGTAGCTAAGTTATTTAGAACTTGTTTCATCTAAGATGAGGGCATTCCATATGCACTTAGACTCTAAATAGCCTTAGATCTGTCATTTCTATAGGATGCCATCATATCTCATCAGAACTATGTTACACACCATTAGCAGGTATATGCTGTACTGCTGGGAAAGCTGTGGTAATCTCTGGGCTGCCCCTCCTCACACTCTCGTGACACCCTTTCTCAACATCAATCAAAGCTTTGGTGTATTCCCTTCATGTCTTACATTTTGTATATTGTAGGTACTTGATATTTTGTGCATGAAAGTTTGTCCTCATGATTCTTTGAATTTCCTCAGTGTCTGTTGTAATGTCTCACTATTCATTTCTGATTTTATTGATTTCGGCCTTTCCTCTCTAATTTGGCTAAAGGTTTGTTCATCTTTTAAAGATCCAACTCTTCATCTAGCTGATTATTTGTATTTTCGTTCCTATTTTCTTAATTTTTGTCCCTGATTCCGAATCTCTCTTTCCATCTACTGCTTTCAGGTGATGTTTATTCTCCTTTACCCAAAGCCTTCAGGTGCATCATTCAGTAGTTATCAGCCCATCTCAAGCATTTCCAAAACATGGAAAGAGAATTTTCTAATTTGTTTGACAGGTCAGCACTTCCACCTTTCACACCATGTGAAGACACTACAAAGAAAACAGGAGACAGATCAGCATTTCTTATGAATAATTGATGTGAAACATCTAGAGTGACAACTCAGAAGTTAAGAGCACTTGTTATTCCTGAAGAGGACTCACCTTGTGCCTAGCACCTACATGGATACTCATAACTAGTTACAGAGGATCCTATCTATGCCTTCTTCTGGCCTGGCTGGCACTGCACACATGTGATGCAAACATATATGCAAGCAAGACATGCATGCATGAAAATAAAAATAAGGAAATTTTTTTTTAAAAAAAAATCACATTCTTAAAAGTAAATCTCAACCAGATGTTCAGAACAGCATTCAGCAGCATCCCTCCGGGTTGGCTGGACATGATGTCACATGGCTTTAATAACCCAGCAGTCAGGAGGGAAGCAGAGACAGATACCCTCTGCACCATTTCTTACATCCCTTCCATCTTACTCCTACACCATTCTTGTCTTTGTGGTTTTTTTTTTTTTCATTTCATTTTCCTTACTCAGCACACAGCATCTGCCTGTCATCCTTCTTGTTTAGGCTTAATGTTATCCCCAGTCAAGAGCTTGGTGCCACGCCCATTACTGTTTCATGCAGCCACTGAATTATTTTTATGCAATAATATTAAGAGGAATGATAAATTTACACCTCCCAGCATGTATATCCTCCTTCTCTTCTCTAAATTGAAAGTCTAGACTTTCAATTTCCAAACTGTGGGGTTCACACCACCGGCGGAAATACTACCCAGAAACCTGCACAAAACCCAGATTCTTGTGTCTTGTCCCAGACCTCTGGAGTCAGCAACCCAGAGGATAAAGTCCAGTGAGCTGTGTCTTCCCCCAGGCTATCCTGATAAAGTTTCAGACCCATTGAATCGGTATTCCTGCCACATAGTTGATTTTTATCTTTCTCAGCGATTTCCTAGCAGGATGAGATTATGGGAAAACCACCTCACCTTGAACTTGAATAGCCATGCTTCAATGCACGGTGTCTCTGAAGCTATGCCTGCCTGCTGCATTCTCCAAATTCCAGGGCGAGAGCATTCTATTTTCATGAGCTGCAGCTGATAGCAACCAGGAATACACGGCAGAGCTCCTGCTCCTGGCAACGGGGATAGTTTTCCAGCCTGTGCTGGCATGGCCTGTCATGACTTCTAGGAGGGAAAAAGAGAGATTTTTTTTCCCTCTTCAAAAGTCAGAGGGAAGCCAGAATGTGGTGTTTCCCATTTGTCATCCAAGTACTCAGGAGACTGAGGAGGTTTGAGAACATCCTGGGATCACATATGGTGTTCTAGGACCTCTGGGGCTTCAAAGCAACAGAAACAGCAACAACAAACAACAGCAACAATACGTGTTCACTCAAAATCAAAAGGTTCGAGATGGAGGTCAGTAATTCCATCTGATCCTTGCACTCCCTAGACATTCTGTTTCTTGGATATATATCACTATCCTCCAAGATACCTGGTGGTTGGGGTTGTCTTTTACACACCCCATCCCTACTCTGGCATCCCAGCTGTATTCTCTCCTGGGAAACCAGTTGATGGTTTACTGCCATCTCCCCCAGCCCCCCACTCACTCTCTTTTTCTTCCGTTTTTACTACTATGCACTGATGAGTTTTACTGGAACAAGCCCTTAATGCTACTCTCTCATTAGGAGCCTGACACCATAGCTGCCAGTCAGACTCTCTTATCCTGTCAGGACCCCTGGTTCTCCATAATCTGACCCCAGCTGTACCTCTGTAAGGTCCTGGTTACCTCTCCTACTGTCCCCAGACACCCCTGCTTCCAGCTCCTGATACACTGGCTCTGAAATGCCCTCAGATGCCATGCCTGCTTATTTAAAGCCTGTCCTTCCTCAAGGTCTGTCTCATGTTTCGCCTTCAGGAATATCCAGGTCAGTGTGCTCTCCAGACCCCAAGTTTCTGCAGCATCTTTGTGCCTGCCTTTACCCTATCCCCTCACCCTGGTTGTTACTGTTTCCGGTTTGCTGCGTTCCGTCCTGGCAGTGTGTTTGCTGGGACGTCATCTTTCTCAAAGGCCCTGCAGCTATGTCTAGACAAGTATTTACAATTGGGAAAAAAATCTACAAGTGCTAAGTATTTAAGGAATTTTCAACATGTCTGTATTTTAATGAATTTTCTTTCTAGATGTGCACTCTTGTTCCTGTAAGAGTAAAAACTGAATCTATTATAAACAATATACCTCATTATTTTCACTGTTTTGACATTGGAAGTGTTGGGCAAATATTCTTAGCATGAACATAGCTCAGCTTGCTTCTGAAGAACTCTGGGGAAAAAAAAGAAAACAGAGTTATGAAGTTTCTTTTCTGAAGTGCCACAGATGGTCAGATTCTAGAGTTAGCCATGGAAGAAAACTCAACATTTTAGTAAATGCTTAAAGCTTTTATTTAGCCATTGCCAAAAATTTGCCTTCAGTGGGTACTTGAGAAAAATTCTACTAGAAATTTCAAATATTTAAATTCAGGTAATACCATATTTTTGTATGTTTTCCTTTAGCTAAGATGACAACGTAAAAAAATTATCTGCTTTTATTCATACATATGTTCATGTGTCTGTATGTCTGCTTCTCTTCTGGTCTCTCAGGGCATACACACACTCTATGCACACGTGCATGCAGACACATACAGAGATATACCTTTATATACAATTAAAAGTAAAGTGAATCTTTAAAAACGTAGATTCTCATTTCCTGTGTTGGTCTCCTGACTAAGCATTTTATGCAGCAAAAGCCATGGAGCCATGCCAACCACTCAGTGGAGTATGTGGTATTAGGAAATAGAGTTACGGATTCATGCATCTTTTATAGACAAGTCATCATTTTTTTTTGTTTTTCTTTCAGGTGGTTTGCTCTCTTAGAGATTCAACTTTGTATTATCTTAGTGCTTTATAAATATGAGTGCAGTCTTCTGGACCCATTACCAAAGCAGGTAAGTGCCTTTAGAATGGTAAACATTATCATTGACATCAGTTATGACATAAACCTCTAAACATGTGGCTTTCAATACTAGCCATGCGTTGAATAATTTCCTTAAATTAGAACTTGACTTTACAAAGAGGGGTCTTTTGTAGGTCTGGAAATGAACTCTTTGTTTTGGAAGTTGTTATTGATCCATTTGAAGTGATGCAGGAAAACTGATCCCCTAGTAAAGACAGTAAACAGGAAGGAAAGGGATACTGTTCAGGCTTAACTCCATGCAGATGCAACAGCTCCTGAAGGGACATGAGTCTCAGAATCCTGGAACCTGGAGGCTTTGCAGTCTCCTCCCTAGGGCTCCCAATCCAATAGTTCTCTACTAGGTTCCCAGCAGTAGAGAGTAAGAGGGGCACCTCTTACTGCTGGGAGCCTGAGTACCACCCTATAGAGATCACTGTCATAAGGAATGAGGAAAAGTCCAATTGAATGCCAAGTGGGTGGAAACACAATGACAAGTACTATTTAAACAGGGTGAGGCTTTGAACTCACCAGGCTATTTATGAAGGCGTTTGTGTTGAATGCATGAAGGAATAAATGAAACTCCTTGTGACATTGCAATGGAAATTATATAAGTGCGTGTCTCAGAAAATATGTCTACAGATATGCATACGTCAGCACTTTCCATTAACAGTTTCTTTTCCATTTTTCTCTTGTTGCTTTATTTTTTTTTTAATTTTATCAATGCTTTGAGGATCTCCTGCATTGTATTTTGATCATATTCACCCTTCTCCCTCACCTCCAAGATCCACACCCCCCCCATTCTTTATTGACCCGACTTTTTGCCTTTTATTTTTTAAACATATAGAGTCCAGTTAGTACTGCCTATATGCTTTTGTGTGTATGGCCTTTCACTGGAGCATGTTAGGCACACTCAGCGGTCATACCCTTAAAGGGAACTGTCTTGGACTGGAGAGATGACTCAGAGGTTAAGAGGACTCTCTGTTCTTGCAGAGCTCCTGAGTTCAATTCCCAGCACCCCCATGGTGGCTCATAACCATCCACAATGAGATCTGCTGCCCTCTTCTGGCATGCAGGCATAGATGCAGGCAAAACATTGTATATGCAATAAATAGAGGGGAAGGGAGAGGGGAAGGGAGAAAGAGGAGAGGAGGGAGAGAGAGAGCGAGAGCAGGTGAGCTGTCTTCTGGTAGCAATTATCAATTACCAATAGTTCCTCAGCTAGAGTGGGACTTTGTACTCCATACCCCCAGCCCCCACCCTGTCTCCATGCTAGGGTTTAACCACTGCCAGCTCTTATAGTCAGCATCCCTGTTATGTCCAGGAAGCAGTTTCCTGGTCACCTCCCATCTTCTGGCTCTTACACTCTTTGCACCCTCTTTTCCTCAGTGATCCACGCGGCTTGCAGGGGATGTGCTATAGCTGCTCCATTTAATAAATTGCACTTCTGTCAGTTCATCAGTGATGAAGATCTCTCAGAAACTTACTGTGAGGGGTAGCACTAAATACCCTTCTGGAAAGCCCTCAAAAGCCTGCTGTGCATTTTACAGAACAAAAATTAGAGCAAGGCTTTCTGAAAACTAGGTCCCGGTGCTAGAGAGATGGCTCTGTGTCAAGAGCACGTGTTAGTAGATGACTGGAATTGGTTCCACACATTTACATCAGATGGTGCAAAATCATAACTCCAGCTCAGGGTGTCTTGTCCTCTTCTGGCCTGTAGAAACTAGACCTGATTCTTCCTCTCAGCCCCATGCTATCAGAAATAAGACTCAGATTCAAAAGATATTTACAAATACCTTGACCATATTGCTAACCTTTTCTCTGACTAGCTCATAACATAGAATAACCCATTTATTCTAATCTACATTCTGCCACATGGCTGGTCACCTATGCTCTGGTACCGTGCATCTGTTTAGTCACATCTTCCCCCAGGCAAATCTCCCGTGCCTGGCATTATACCATAATCCTTTCTGCCTCCCAGATGTTCCACCTCCCTATTTCCTGCCTATGCTATAGGCCATCAGATTTACCATTGACAGGTTCCACATCCATACAGACACAAGATATTCTCTCTACAATGGTCTCTGTGGGTACCTGTGCACATTTGTGCATAAACTCACACAAACACATAAATAAAAGTTAAAACAAATATAAACCAAACCAAAAAGCTAGATCTTGGTCCTTCAAGGTAGATATCACACTTTTCCCCAGAACTGATTCAACATTCACTGTTTCTCCAACAGCTTGCCTACCACACCAGAAAGGAGACATTTGTGAAAGCTGCATGCACCAGTCCTCACCAGTTCCTTGAGAGTTCTCTTAGCACTACCTAACCAAGAACTCTTCGAGCTGCATTTAATTTCTTATGCTACTTCATGCATGTTCTTATTTATTTATGTTTGGATAGCATATACTTATGTTTGGATATTTATGTGTAAATAGCAAGACTGCTATTCAAAGAAATGTTATCTAATTTGTGAAAGGTTGGTGTCTAAGTGAATTCCCACGGTCTCACAGAGGGAGCATCTCCTTACACCATCCTTACTGTAGGAAGAGAAAAACAATGGGAATTATATAATTAATAGAGTTAGGTTAATTAGAGAATGAATTGATCAAAAAGTATAGGAAGGGGCTGGAGAGGTGGCTCAGCAGTTAAGAGCACTGGGTGCTTTGGTGAAGGTTCAGGGTTTTGTTCCCAGCATCCACATGGTGGCTCACAACCACATGAAACTCTAGCTTCAAGGGTTCAGTGACCTCTTCAGGCCTCTGTGGGCACTGCATTCATACACACACACACACACACACACACACACACACACACACACACACACA